ATGGACATGTTCTGCAAGAAAAAACCACAATCAGATTTGGGCTTTTAATCCCAGTCCACATGAAGCTGAGAGAGAAGGGGAAGAAGACTGAAAACTGCATGAGATTCAAGAGATTCTGTCCCAGAAACCAACACAAAAACTAAAGGACCAGAAAGAGGCAGAAGCCACATATTCTGTAGCCCAACCCACCACAGCACTGGAGAAAGAAGCATCACATGTCTGGAAAGAGCAGTTCCTCTTCCTCAAGGTCTGTTCCTATTACATCTTCATGAAACCAAGGAGAAGAAGGCAGCCTTCATAGCCCATACACTTTGTTTCTTTCCATTTGGCAAAGGGACCAACTATCTGCAAACTTGTGGTAATTGGAAGATACCATGAAAACTTTTCTCACATACCTGCTGTGTGTTGGTGAGATGCCAAGATGGGGAGGGAGAATTATTGTCTGAGAGGGAATCCACCTCACAGCCATGCCTTGTGCCATCAAGAAGTCTCAGCAGCTTAGATGCCTGGAAGTACAGGGCTTTCTGATATTTCAGTGCAAACACAGGTATCTCTTTTGCAGCACTGAGTCATCAGGGCCTCTGGATCTTGGCATCGGCAGGTGAGTGTCTTCACAGCTGTTCCAGACTGAACATCTTTTTTGGGGACCACAGTTAACTCCTGAACAAAGCAGATGGAGAACAACAGGTGTAGGCCGATGCTGGGGATGGCTGAGAATGTCTTAGTTCTGAGAGCTCATATCTGAGAGGGAGTTCTGGGGAACTAGCTGTCTTTTTTCTTGCAGGGATCCTTTGTAAACCTACACTCAGAGCAGTTCCAAGGAATGTGATAACCACTGGAAACCAAGTGACATTCTTCTGTCAAGGGCCCTTAGAGGCCAAGGAATATCTTCTCTGCAAAACTGGAAGTCTTGATTGCTTGATACCAACAACCCTAATAGAAACAGAGAACTTGGCTAAATTCTCTATCTCATCAATTGAATGGAATAATGCGGGCCAATATTGGTGTGAATATAAAAGTCCCAGTGGCAAAAGAGAACACAGTGACAACCTGGAGCTGGTTGTGACAGGTGAGAGGACCCCTCTACAACCCCAGCATCTGCCTTGAGGAAAGGAGTATGTTCACAGTAGGGTCCCTTTTAAATATGTGAATAGGAGAAAATGCTTCTCATATTGGTCATATGGGCATATGAGGATACAGCAAATGTTATTAAAATTAATAAATAAAGGCCTTTGTGTGGACAGATAGTTGTCAGGAAGTGGTTTGGGGAACTGTCTTTATGTTGAGTTGATCTGAAGGTTTGTTTAAACACACTACACAATCATGTTTGTTTCTTGCCCTCTTCTCTCACAGGCATTCTTCAGAGCAGTGTGAGCCTGTCAGCCATTCCCAGCCCAGTGGTGACTGGAGGAGGAAATGTGACCCTGCAATGTGTGTCACATCATCCATATAACAGGTTCATTCTGATGAAGGAAGATGAGAGGTTCTCCCTGGCTTTGTCCTCACAGAATATACACCCTGAGCTATTTGGAGCCCTGTTCACTCTGGGTCCTTTGACCCCCAATCAGAGGTGGAGGTTCACATGCTATGGGTATTACTTGAGCAACTCCCAGCTGTGGTCAGTTCCCAGTAACCACCTAGAGCTCCTGGTCTCAGGTAAGGAAGTACAGAACTTTCCTTTGACTATAATTACAAGTAACCCAGGATCCCAAGAAAAGGATCTGTTATATGGTGGGTGAATGAGAGCCAAGTCTACTGAACCCAATGTCATGAAATGTGTGGTACAGCTAGACTTGAGGTGGGGAAACCAGGGTTGATAGTAACAGTAGAACCAAGGCCCAGAGAAAAGTGTGATCTTTATGTGTCCTTTTTCTATTGCAGATCAGATTACAGGTCCCTGACAAGGTGACCTTCTCTGTGATATTCTCCTAACAGATGCTCCTCCTTTTTTCTTCTTTGTAGGGACCCTTCACAAACCCCGCATATGGGCTCATCCTGGCTCTGTGATCACCTCAGGGAGTCCTGTTACCATCTGGTGTCAGGCAACCCGAGAAACCCTAATCTATGTGATATATAAAGAGGGAAGCCAAGAGCCCTGGGACCAACAGACTCAAACAGACAACAGCACTGAGGCAAAACTCACCATTCCATCTGTGACACAAGTGCAGGCAGGCCGGTATCACTGTTACACCTACACCTCTGCGGGATGGTCACAGCGCAGTGACCCCTTAGAGCTGGTGGTGACAGGTGAGAAGACACCAGAAATCTTTTTTTAAAAGCTTTTTTTTTGGTTTTTTGAGACAGGGTTTCTCTGTGTAGCTTTACACCTTTCCTGGAACTCACTTGGTAGCGCAAGCTGGCCTAGAACTCACAAAGATCCACCTGCCTCTGCTTCCCGAATGCTGTGATTAAAGGTGTGTGCCACCACCGCCCGGCTAACACCAGAAAACTTAACCCCAGATGTCACTCTCAAGAAAAGAATGCACTAATACTACCTCCCATCAAAAGACAGCCTTGGGGTGGGAGCAATCAGGCTTTGTGATCCTCTTTAATTTTCCATGTGTGTTTCTTCTAGGAGTCTACAACAAACCCACCCTGTCAGCCATGCAAAATCCTGTGGTAAACTTAGGAGGGCTTCTGACCCTCTTTTGTACCTCAAGCCAGAGATATGACTGGTTCATTTTAATAAAGAATGGTCAGAAGTTCTCCATCCCTCGGAGCTCAAGACACACACACACTGGGATGTTCCTGGCTGAGTTTCCAGTGGGTCCAGTGACCTCTTGCCAGAGGTGGAGGTTCAGATGCTATGGCTATTACACAAATAACTCTCAGGTGTGGTCAGAAGGGAGCGAGGTCCTGGAGCTCCTGGTCTCAGGTGAGGAAGCCTCAGACTCTCTGTGGAATCATGTTGCACCTGACACAGGTCAAGACCATAATGTTTGATATGTCTGAGCATCCAGGGCTCCTGAGATAATTGATATAGCATGCAGACTGTGGGAGTCACTGTACTGACTGAGGGGAGGGCATAGTGACATGAGATCTTGTGAGGCTCATGACTGAGTCTTCCCATGACATTACTGGTCCTTTTGCTATTAAGGAGAACATTTCAAGATTAGTAGCATGTTTGCCTCTTACTGTGAAACTGCTCAAAGTCCCACCTCTTTCCCATTTACTTTCTTATAGGAAACCTCAAGAAACCCACCCTCTGGGCTGAGCCAGGCTCTGTCGTCAGCACAGGGAATCCTGTGACCATCTGGTGTGAGGGAACCAAGGAAACCCAAATATATTTCCTGTATAAAGAAGGAAGTAGAGCCTCCTGGTTCCATCAAACTCCAAAAGGTCCTGGCAAAAAGGTCAAGTTCTCCATAGCATCCATGGAAAAGCATCATGCAGGGCAATATCGCTGTTACTCTTACGAATCTACAGGGTGGACCGAGCACAGTGACTCCCTGGAGCTGGTGGTGACAGGTGAGAGGACACTAAGTGTCAGAGTCTTTGCCTCTGTCCACAGGAAATAGTTTTCCATAAGTGTGCTTCCATAGCCCATCTGCTGGAGTCAGTGTTGGCTGTGTTTCACTTGACACACTTCCTGCTCCTCTCCTGGGAGTTTACCATGGCAAACCTACTCTGTCAGCTGTGCCCAGCCCTGTGGTGACCTCAGGTGGGAATGTGACCCTTCAGTGTATCTTACCCGAATGATACAATGGGTTCATTTTGACTGGTGCAGATCTGAAGTTCTCCAGGTCCCAAAAGGCACAGTTATTACACACTGGACAGTCCCAGGCTCTGTTTCCTCTGATCCTTGTGACATCCAGCACACACGGGCCCTTCTGATGTTATGGAAACTATACAAATACCACAAATGTGTGGTCAGAGGCCAGTAACCTTCTGGAGATACACATCTCAGGTGAGAAAGTCTCCATGTTCCCATAACCAAGTGACACTGGAAACTCTTTTTCATTAGTGCAGCTGCCTCAAGGTGGGATTGAGGTCACGATGCCTGAAGGGAACTCTTGATTCCTAAGACCCAGAGTAGAAAAGGCCATGGC